GTAATTAAATTATGAAATTTTGATTTCGGTTTTTCCGGAACGTAAATATTTAAAGGCATAAGTACCAAGTATTGATTTATTCCACGGACCATTCGCAGCTATTACAATGGAAAATCACGGACAGTTTGCTTTATGATGTGGCCGGATGGAAGATATCCCACCTCGATGGCGGATTATGCGTGAGTAAAATATGCACAGTTTTTTCTATATAATTAGAAATTAGAATTAGAAATATATAAGTTAGCTTTTTCTTTGTTCACTATTCATACCATTAACCTTAGTTTTCTTTTAATTTTTTTCAATATAGTTACAACCTGATTATCCTGGTGCTGACCTATGGCATTCCCATGATCGTAATGCTCATTTGCTACTCTCTCATGGGACGTGTCCTGTGGGGCAGTCGATCGATTGGCGAGAACACGGACCGCCAGATGGAATCGATGAAGTCCAAGCGGAAGGTGGTGCGCATGTTCATCGCCATTGTGTCCATCTTTGCCATCTGCTGGCTTCCGTATCACCTGTTCTTCATCTACGCCTATCACAACAACCAGGTGGCCTCCACGAAGTACGTGCAGCACATGTATCTTGGTTTCTATTGGCTGGCCATGTCCAATGCCATGGTTAATCCCATTATTTACTACTGGATGAATAAGAGGTAAGTGGGGGCTTGAAAATGAAATGAAGTAAGAAAATCTATGGCTTGTAAATAAATTATTTAAAGAGAGCACAGAGATGGCGTTTAATAAGCAAATTTTAGTACGGAAAATATAAGAGTAAATACTCATTAGGTTTCCTGGAATTTGCAGCGATGAGCTAATTATAATTATAACTTGAATAACCCTTCTTACCTCCATTGATTACACATTTAAATTGTTATTTAATAAGAGTAAACTATTCAAAAAATGCAATTTTTTGCAGGTTTCGGATGTACTTCCAGCGAATCATTTGCTGCTGCTGCGTGGGTCTCACCCGCCATCGCTTCGACTCGCCGAAGAGCCGGCTGACAAACAAGAACAGCTCGCACCGGCACACTCGAGGTGGGTATACCGTCGCCCACTCGCTCCCCAACTCCTCACCACCCACTACCCAAACAAGCAACCCCAAGACCAACCCATCACTCCTGACCACCCAAGCCATCCAAACCAACACCCAGTCGCACTTGTCTCACCCGATCCCCACGCCACATTCCGCAGCCGAGACCAAGAGTCAGTGGAAGCGCAGCACGATGGAAACGCAGATCCAGCAGGTGCCCACGACCAATTCTTGCCGGGATCAGCGGCAGATGACACAGTCGCAGTCCCTGGGAGGCGTCGCAACACCGCGACCTGCGGTGGAGTGCATCATGGAGCGGCCGATGGATGGAAATAGTTCGCCGCTGTGCCTATCAATAAACAACAGCGTGGGCGAGCGGCAGCGCGTGAAAATCAAATACATCTCCTGTGACGAGGACAATAATCCTGTCGAGCTGGAGCATAGTAGTGGTCCCAAGCAGCTGTGATGTTGTCCCCACAAGCAGTGCCGCGACAGTGACTGCAACAGGAATGGTCGGTGAATATTCCCTGGCTTTTGTCCCCCTCCGATGGCGAAGCAAATGCAATTTGCCATTGCTTACTTTTCTGTATATACACATACGACCCACTCACACGAAAGTTGAATACATATTGAATATAAAGAACAGACCGGGCAGGGTGCTTCGATTTTGAATACAAAAAGGGAATTGAAGGGGAAAAGAAAGTTGGACTTTTTGAAGATGGTTTCGGTCTGATTTTTAAACCAAAAAAATTTTGTAAAAATTATTATAATACTTTAAAATATGTCTTACATCCTGAAGCATAATATTTTCAAGGCCAGAAAACTCTGTGTACTATATTTCCTTGAATTACCTATAATGAAACTTCGCTTGACATCACTTTAGTTACATAAAAAGTAGACCAAGTTGCAGGTTTCTTATATCTGTTCCAACAAATCGTTACACGGTTTCCCCTTCAAGTCAACTTATTTCCAAATCGATCCACCCTATTGCACAGTCAAAACTACATTTCCGGTTGTTAAAGGAGAAAAAAAAACAATTTCAACATAAACGAAAATGAGAAATAAATTTCCAATAAATTGAATTTATATGTCTTTGTATAAAGAAATCAATCTATCGACACTTTAACCATCGAAGAGCTGTAAGTTTTAACTGTTGTAAACATTTAGGCTAAGCCAAAAGTGTAAATACATGCTACGACTAAGGGATAATTGTATTTGAATATACGTTGTGCTATTCGTTGGATAAAATTAATTAAAGAAGTCGAGACATATTTCACTTTAAAGCTGTTTAAAGCTCACTTTATAAATGGATCAAAAGGTGTCTACGACTTCTTGATTTCGTTGTAGGTTTTATTCTTTTTCGTTTTTGCCTTTGCGATCTGTACATATATGTAAAAATATATATAAATGTGAAATGGCAAAACAATGTGTGTAGTTTATTTAAACAAAAAAAAATGTTAACCAGGCAACACTTGCAACTGACATGAATACTTATTACATCTGACATATTTGCATAGAAAAATAGTTGTGCATTTTGGAAAAAAACAAATAAATCTTCAGACTTTCAGCTTCAGCTCCAGGCTAAAGATAATATTTTCATTGGTAATTGAAAAGGCCTGTTCATGTGAGATATATTCTGCTTGAATAAATACTAATTCGGCTGAGAAAAGTGTACTGCTAAAATGATTAAGTCCATACCCAAAGGGAATTTGCATGTCATTATGTTCGCACTCGTATTATTTATTCAAAGCTCAAAGTCCAATCCCATTCAGTCGAGTTAGCCATGCACGACTTAATACTTATGTGTCTGTAGTTATTACTGACAGCCACACAGCCACAGCCAGAGCCATGGTTCAAAAGGTCCCTTAATGCAAAATTCCCAAAAAGGGAATCCTTTCAGTCTGCGACCCGCCTTTCAATAGTTCAATTTTAAAGGATTTCTACTCCTTTCAATCCGAAAGCAAACAGATCTTCGAGATATACAACGCATAATGGCGAACCGATTACAAAAATGTAATTGAAATGCAAAACCGAGGACTGGGACTGAAAGCGTAAACCAAACCCACCAAATGGTGGTTCTCTGGAAGCGTTGTTCAACTATCTAATTGAATCACAGACAAATTTCGAATGCGAATCGAAACCAGAACAAGCGTCAGTGCCAGGACCAAAAACCAAAACCAAAACCTGAACTCAAACACAAAGCGTTACATTTTTATTGCTCGTTTTTGGAGAAGGAGTATTGGCGCTAATGCGACAAATCGCTCGTTGTAATGGCTCTACAATGGACCGATGGACCTGGCCGGGGTTGTATTCGAGGTAATAGGATTTGATGGGTTCCGAGAGCTCCGTTCACCGAATAACAATTTGCATAATAAGTTGATGTTTGCATCGACTTTGAACCACTTGTCGGGCCCCCATTGTCATGGCAGCCGCAGAGAGCAAAGACCGAAACCGAAAGCGAAAGTCAAAGCCTTTAAGGAATGAAGAAAAAAAGGCAAACCAAAAATCAGTTGAAAAGATTCTATTACCACAAATACAGCCATATGTTGGGGATATACTTCTATATATGATGAGTGTATGTGTGTTTGGGGCTCCGTTTCCCCGGCAACAGACTGAGCAAGTCTTGGGGTCGCACCGCAAATTGTTTGAGCAAGTATGAGTGGTCTGGTCTCGAATTAGGTCCCTCGATGAGTAAGTATCTCATATCAAAATGAAATGGCTAATCAATTTTCATATGTGGCCATAAAAATGCGGCCACTACTATTGCCCTAATGGAGAGGTTTTGGTAGTATGCTGGAGAAGAGTGTAGGCAAAAGGTTAAGGTTCAATTGCATTACCAAAATTAACGCCGCATCCAGCAATTCCAACTGTCACGGCCATGTTTATGTCATGTCTGTTTGTTTTCTGTGTTTTTCTCTCCTACGCGCGAAGGATTGCCATTTTATGTATTTATTTTCGGGGAGTGTTTTTATACCCTTGCAGGGTATTATAATTTCAATCAGAAGTTTGCAACGCACTGAAGTAGGCACCTTTACTCATATATATGTCGGACGACTATATCATATAGCTGCCATAGAAATGATCGGAAAATTTTTACAAAAAAAAATTATAACATTTTCAGTTTTCAACAGAATGTCTTCAAATTTAAGATATAGCCATTTTATTATACTCTACAATATTGTGCAAAATTTTATTAATATCGGACTACTATATCAAATTTGAGGTATAGCCATTTTATATTAGTCTTAAATTTTGTGTCAAATTTCATGAAAGTCGAACGACTATATCATATATACAATTCTCATTATTCCAAAATTAAAAAATGAACCTTCCCTACGCTTCCCAAAAAAACAAAATTGTGTTTGCCTCTCTTTTACTCTCTCTCAAAAATAATACATTCCTCGCATTCACTCTCTCTCAAAAAAGTGCCCTCCTCTGCGCTTCTCAACCAGTGTACTTAAGCACCGTAGCAAACACAATTATTTTTGTTCTTCTTCTTGTTTAGTTATGTTTTTTTTTTATGTAGTGAGAGTGGCATAAATAATAAAGCAGTGGAAATGGCAGTGGAATGACAGCGCAATTTGAAAATATTCAGGGAAGTGAGTTACAGAGAGTGTAACTTAGTTAATTGGCTTTGTAATACTCGAATGGAATGTTATAAATTTAATATATTCGTGTTTGGATAAAAAGTTGTGTTTGCATAAATATTGCATTGGAAAAGTACAGACAAAAATTTAACTATTAAGTTAGGAACACATCAAACTCATATACCCCATCACATTACCTTTTCAGAAATTGTACTGTACTCCCTAAACCCAGCATTGATATCTCTATCACTTTACATTCATATCTCTGATAGTGAACACACACATTGTCGGAGAGGCAGGTCTAGCTTTTGTTCAGTGTAACAGCACCAGAAATAAAATCGGAAAACAGGGCCTTAAATAGTAAAAGAGTAAAATTTGGCAATGATTAAATACATGAAGATAGTGGCCGCCGTAACCGGGTTGGTGTTCCTGGGTTACTGCGTGTACTTTGACAAGAAGCGTCGCAGCGATCCGGACTTCAAGCGCAAGCTCCACGAACGTCGCAGTCGTCGCCCGGCTCCTAAATCTGGACCTGGGGATCTTAATGAGAAGGACATGGAGATGTTTTTTCTTGATCAGATGCAACGCGGCCAGAGCTTGATTAATAATGGCGATATCGACGCCGGATTGGATCATCTCATCAGGGCGATCTTCGTGTGCAACCAACCGGCCAAGCTGCTCCAAGTACTGCAGAGCACTCTGCCCCCGCAGATCGCTACCATGATGCTGATCAAGATGGAAGCCTATGAGTGCGGCCAGAAGCGTTTAGCTATTCCACACGTTGTTGCGGATGAGGAGAGCATCAGTGCCGTCGAATGAGTAGAGCCAGGAGCCAGCTTCATTCGATTCATTACAAAATTATAGGTCCTTTTAGTTTTCCCGAACGGAAATGAGTATTGTTTATTTAACTCACTTGAAAATACAACGATATTTGACTTAGGCGAACAAAAATTCAATATTTGAGTTTAATTTTTAAATTATTTTGATTATACCAGTTAAAGGGCTGTTTAGTATTCCCAGATTAAAACGACTGTTGTTATTCCTGAACAGGCATCCTAACTTGCTCCAGCTTTTGCTTATTTTTTTTGTTGTGTTTACTGGTTGCCATGACCAACTGGAGTGGCAACAGATTTTCTGGGAAGCTTGCAAGCATCTGGCTAAGTTGGCAAATTAACGACTTCGATTATAATGTCGAGCGTAAAATTTTCCGCTGCGATGTTAGCAGCAGCAGAATTTCCACCGTTGAATTCTACGAATTGGCAATGGCTTAGCTGAGCTTAGCTGAAGTCAAGGCCATGGAAATCACAACACCGGGAAAAGGGAAACATTTTGTGTCATAAGTACAAGTGCTTTAACCTTGAATAATCATTCCAACTTCCCGTTTTACATAGCTTCAATCAAGCAGTTCAATTGACAATTAAATGCCGATTCAGCCCCAAATTATCATGACAATCAAGATGTGGATTCTAGGATCTGCAAATGTTCCATTGTCTGTTCGCAAACAAAATGTCTGCCGGCACATTTCCGGAATTATGCGAATGCCTGTCTGGGGGGAGCGAGGTCCCCTTGCTGCTGTGCGGTTTGCTCGCATAATTTCCTGGATACACACACAGACACACACAACCCAGCTCTAAACTGACCCCTCTCCACATTTATCATCCGGATGCGTTTGATTGATGGCCTTGGTCCCGCCGATTGGCCAACTGGCCATGAAATCCAAATCGCCCGCAACTCGTCCTCTCTTACATTCCTTAAAGCTGTCGTGATGGCCATTAGGGACATCTAGCTAGGAGCATTAACCCCCTGAGCCTCGTTTTGGGTCGAAAGTTGGACAAAAAAAGATTAACACGGTCATTCATCTGCATATAAATATAAGTTTTAAGAGGAACCCTGACCTAAGTGTTGTATTGTGTGCCAAAGTGTTAACTGGACTCTTGTTTTTAGGGTAAAGAAAACATGTTTAAGGCAACTTGGCAGTCAATTAGTGGGAAAAGTGGTTAACTAATTGATTTGCCATAAATAATTTAAAAAGGGCTTGCCTTAATTAATATACAATCCATATTTCATCTAAACATTACAAAACACACAAAGCATTTTGTAATATGTTCACTTTAATTTGTCTCTTTCAGTCTTAATTACATTTTAAACTGACATGAAAATACCGCATAGAATTCAAAGCAAAGCAATGTATTTAAATTTAAGCTTTTACAAACCCTTTTCTAAACGTTTTATTGCAGACTTAACTCTGAACTGAACAAGAAAAACAATCTTTTAACGCCTTTTTGTTGGCAATTAATGAGTGGAAAGTTCAACTGATTCATCTGATTCCCCCTCCTGAGTCAGCGAATGTAATTACATAATGACCTTTTGCGGCATTCTTCTTTGCTTCCTCCGCGCATTGTCCAGTTCTAGTAATTACCAGATAAAATAGGACAGACAGAAGGACAGGCGATTGGATAGAGCATCCCAGCGAAGCTTTGTTGCCTTGCACACTAATTTCTAAGCTGCGCAGCAGTCTGGCATCAAAGACTTGGCCCTTGGAGCGGCAGCTAATTTAATGAAATATCCTGGAAGAATCCTGAGCATGAGTGTCTGCACTAATAGCCACGCTGTGCTCAATTATTTCGTCTCATTTGGAATATTGGGAAATTAATAGGAGGTAATTGACCTTCGTAAAGTGAGGGCGGCACTCAAAAAATTTCGCTTAAACAAATCAATGTTAGATTTAACTTTACTAAATACTTTTATTGAGGGGTTAAAAGAACATAAATAAATTTAGTCAACTTTTCTTGCTAAGGACATTGTACATATATAAAGGTCCTTGTTAAATATACATGTTGCGTCCTTTTATTGACAGCTGTTTTGGTTCCAGAATTCGATGTGTGCTGACCATTAACATAAAGATATTAATTACGCCCAGGACACATGGCAAAACAAGCAGACACTGAAAAGAAATAGAACCTTCAATGAGAAATCTTAAATAATTAGTTATGAAGATATAAAAAAGAGAATAATTAAATAACTTTTACTGTCTAATAAAATTAAATCGAATCGTACTTATCAAATTTAATTAAGAATTTTCTTTCTATTCTATCTCAGCCCCACTGAGTTTTAAGGAGTAAAGTAGTAGAGGCTCAATCTCAGAAATCGAGAATGTGACGAGGACATCCTTCGACAAACTGAGTAGTGTGGATGCCACATCAAACAGGACTAATTGGTCGGCGGAGTCATAGCACCCAAGAGCTGTGGGCCCAGGAGATTAATGCTGGGAGAGTGTCATTATAGCTGATGCCTAATGAATTCGTGGCTGGCAAATTCCATTAAACATACGACTTGGGGGAAATCTCACTCCCTAAAATGGGATATATTTCAGACATTGTTTTGGTTTACACAACCACTCGAAACGAAACGTATTTGGCAAATATCACGCATACGCCCCGTGAAACCAGCAATCTCAGCAATCCAATGAAATAGCTGGCTTTAACATAGTTTATGTTTGCCGAGCAAATTTAGTTTGTGTTTTTGTTGTGGTTGCCCTTTTCTGGATTTGCCACACCTTTTCATAGACCAGGGAGAATTTTTTAATAAACAGCATCAAGACAGACAAAAAAAACTTACCATAACGACGCTTTTTTATATTTCGTGCCCGCTTCAACCTTTCTCTGCATAAACCATTTGACAACGCACGTAAGTTACACAGACCAACATTGGGACACACACTCGTAGAAATGTCCATAAGCAAACAAACACTCGCTGACACGCACGGAGACTCTCATTTCCTTTCACCGGAAGTGGTTTGTGTGCGAGCAGGCGAGCGGCTGAGCGTGTGTGTGTGTGTGTGCGTCAAGTTTTATATCATCTCTCTGCAGTTTTTTAACACGTTCCACAATTTTTACCCTCAGCTATTTTGAATTTCATTTTTATACCCGACGTGTGAGGTGTTTAAGGCATACTGGACTCGGGGAAATCGGTGTAGAGATTGTTTACTTTTTTTAGTAGATGTCATCGTGGTTTTTGTATACTTATCCATGATTGTTTTTAAGATTGGGATTCGATATAAATTATTTCTAGTTATTAAATATCGATAGCTCATGTGTCAGAAAGTTAAACTTATTATAAAGTTCAAAAGAGTAACTCCCACACTTATAGCTTCTATACACTTTGAATTAATTTAAAGAACATTCATTGTTAATTACAATTATTATATATTTCCATCGCAATTTCAAACACATTGGGTAACTTATAGTCTCAAGTCCTGTCCATATCATACTTTCATGTTTGTTATGTTTGCTTTTCGAGAGACAACAAAATATGGGTACGTATGTACGTTCCCACTGGATGATGTTCAGGTTCAGTTCCCCGCATGCATTACGTATACGACATGTGTGCTGAGGATACCGTGAGATCGGCATAAAGAAGTGCCCCAAGTCTATCTAGTCAACGTTGTTGTTTGCCACAGGGTTTTTGGGCAAACAATCGAAACATGAGATTCTCGGCAATCAAGTGGGGATTTTCCAACACGTTTTAGCACACGTTACACCGGTATGTGTGTAAATATTAATAGTTGCATAGCTTTCACTTTACGAAAGAGATTATTGTAAGTTTCTCAGCTGGAAGCAGAGCAGAGACTTACTGGTTTTGCAAGGATTTTGATGCAAGGCATTTTCCATATTGTTGCGCGTTATAAGAAATATGCAATTGCATTCTGTTGGCTGGAATTTCATAAATCGAAGGAGAGACTTCACAAAGAATATCGTGTAAGTTTGTACATCTTATCCTTTCGAATAAAATACTTTTTTTAAACTATAACAAGTTAGGTAACATGTAGCCTGAAATTTGCCTTACTGTCGAAGCTTAAGATTACCTAAAGGTTTCTGCTTTATTTATGCTTCCACCTTGGGCAAACACTTCTGAAACCTTAAATACTTGAACAATTTATAGGCTTTCGAAACTTGCACAAGTGAAATAACACGTTTCTTTATGGCCTTCACCATAACCTGGCCAGAAAACTGCATGTGAATGGCTTCCACTTGGGCCATGCGGAGGCGAAAACTCCACTCGATTGTTAAATGGAATTAGAGGGAGGCTTCTATTTTATTGCAGCAATTTGCCCAAAGCCAAAGCTGACATAAGGAGTACTGTGGTATGTGTATATATATAAGTCCTGCTGCGGCGCAGATATCCCTGCATACAGAAAGTGCTTGGTGTAAAGTCTGGCAAGTTTCCGAAAAAGGAATTGCGCTAGCTGGCTTTTCCTTCTTCATTTTGTAAGTTTTATAAGTATGTTTATGGAGTGTGCGTGTTGTGTATTGCTGGCACACCCCCCTTATGGCCAGATGGGTATCCGCTGGTCCTAGCTACACTCTAGTCCTGCTGCCATTGCATTCTGTTTGCACAGCCGACGAGGAACCACTTTCCATGAGAGCCCTTCCGTCCTCGCAGCTCCTCCGCATCACCATGACCAGGATCGAGTCGAGAGCCATGCTGGGAATGTCGTCAAAGGATTTGCGTCACAGAATTCCGAGAGCCGGCTCTGTGCAGCCTGCATGCAGTCCTTACAAGCTCACATCCTTTGGCGACGGCGGCAGTTGGGAAACCAATTTGTACTAGTTTGTCCGCACACTTCGATTCTGGCGAGTCGAAAAGTAATTCAGCTGCCGAAAGGCAGAATCTACGGACAGCGTACAGCGGCCTAATTGCGGCTGGCCAATTTAAATGCGTCCTCGGACTGGCACATCCTGTCCAGGATACGCTGCCACTTCCACTTCCAGTTCCTGTTCCTGTTTCACTTCCACTTTACTCGTTTGTTTTCAATGCGC